ACAATATTCCAACATTCCCACTGGTTGAATGATTTATTTTTAAGTTTGGTTTTGGCACCATACCAAGCTTGTGCTTGAATTAGCTACACAATGGGGGAGAAGAAATAATTATAATCAAAGTAGGTAACAAATAAATAATACAAACAAATAATTATAATTAAAGTAGGTACCAAATAAATAACAAACAAAAAATTATAATCAAAGTATGTAACAAATAAATAATACGAACAAAAAATTATAATCAAAGTATGTAACAAATAAATAATACAAACAAATAATTATAATTAAAGTAGGTAACAAATAAATAATACAAACAAATAATTACAATGTAAATTTGGGTATAGTACAAACAAATAAATAATATATTGTTACCTGATCCGTGTAATTTTCCCCACTTCGAAGATCACTACTAGCTTGTGCTAAGGCGTCTCTCCAAATACTAAACGATTGGCTAAGTAATTTCCAACGACTAGACATCGATTCTTTGGTTCTACTCCCACCCATTTTTTAAAGATAATTGGTATGAATAAGACTCCACATTTCTCACAACTGCATCTCATTACCCGTACGCGAACTATGAGTAATTTCAACCCAGCTAGTACACAATGCAACATCTTCAAGAAGCATCCAATTCGTACGTGCATCAGTAGTCATTTTGTTGAAAAAAATTGGATTGAAACTTTGAGAGAAAGATAGAAATGTGATTGAAAGTAGTTGAGAAAATATGAAATTGTGGTGTAAGGTAGATGATAATGAGAAGGTATTTATAGAAAAGTAGAAACATTTTTTAAAAAAAAATTTCAGATATTTTTTCGGATTTTTTTACAATTTTTTTTAATTTTTTTATTCAAATAATTAATCTCTGCCGTTGGATTTAAAAAAAATTGAATTCCAACACTCCAGATTGTGCCACGTGTCACAACGGTAACTTTTCTTAATTTTAAAACTATTTTTTTAATTTATTTATAAAGCATATTAATATCGACCGTTGATCTCAGCTCGAACGGTTGATATTAAATAAGATTATTATTATTTTTTTTATCGTTGAGATCGAATGGTCCAAGTTAAATAGCCGTTGAGATCGAACGGACCGTGGGAAGCCAAGTGGCTTCCCAACGGTAACATTTCAGTTTGAAAAGTGGGCTGATTTTTCTGAAAAGTTGTTTGGCGATGCGCCCCCACGCGCGAGTGGGGTGCACGTGCTTGATAGAATCCGCTGAGACAAAAGCATTAGCAGAGGCTAAATCAGCTGCATCAGCAAGCGAATGCCTTTCTTAGAATGGTTTGGAAAAAAAAAGGCCTGCTGCAGGGCTAACGTCAGCCCTAACAGCCAATCCACTCAGGCTCGCGGGCTGGCAACTCTTCACAAGCCCGGAGCTCGGGTCTTCACCTCCACTCGGGCTCTTTCACGCTGGAGCGAATCCACAGGGCCTCGGCCCTTTTTCTCTCGTCTGTCCCCCGAGCAATCCACCACGGTAGAGTTGCTCTTAAGGAATTACAAGGAGGTGTGCACATCATTCTCTTTCCTTAATTTTTTATTTTTTATATCCAATTCTTCTTGACAGTAATTTGATTGAACGCCAACTAACTAGCTTCGTCTTGTGGTATTTATTTTTATCTACTTTGAATGTCCGATGTAGATTCCTGAGGACATGTTTGAATCCAACAACAGAGAGACAAAGTCACGCACTTATTGAGGTTTTCTCTTTTCATTAACTTTTTCCTTTGACCCTGCGTATTCTTATTTTTATAATGACAACTCCATTATTGAAGGATTAATTACACCAGTGGCGAAGCTAGGAATTGAAGAGGGGAGGGGCGAAGTTAAAAGAGTGCAAGGTTCAAAAGAATAGCAAGAACCAAATCCTTTATATAGTAATGTCTTCTATAATTTATCAATACAAACAAATTACAATTGTTGCCGACGAGGTTTCATATCATGAAAACGCCGCATAATAGGCTCATTATCAATAAAAGCAAATACATCTCTCTCAATGTAAACAAGCATGCTATCACTCAACCATTGATCTCCCATTTTGTTACGCAATGGTGTTTCACAATCTTCATAGCAGAAAAAGCTCTTTCCACCGAAGCAGTTGCAACTGGTAACACCAAAGTCAATGTAAGAAGCTTATACACTAACATATAGCTTGCAAACCTTCCGGTCTTCACCAACTCCTTTGCAAGATCACCAATTCCTCTTAATGATGAAAACTCACTATGCATCTTCATATCGTGAATGTAATTGTCAAGTTGAATTGGAAGATTCATGAGGTCCATACAATCAAAATCTTGAGGATAAAGTTGGGCTAGACGAACAATTTTTGCTTTGTCAAAAGATGCAAAATTATTCACCGGACTCAAACATGCCATACAAAGAAGCAATTCGGTGTTTACCTCATTGAAGCGATCATTCAATTCCTTTAATTGCGTATCAAGGACTTGAAAATAGAGGTCCACACGATAGTAATGGAAGTTTGTGAGTCTTGGAGCTTTACGCCTTGATTTTCCGGGTACAAAACGCAAATCCTCCATGTTAGGAACGACAATATCATGCTCTTGACAAAACTTTTGTACATCATCAAGCAAGTCCCCAAAGTCATCATCTCTCAAGGATTGTAGTCTTTGCTTGCATACTTCCACTAATGCCATCGCATTCACAATATCTTGATCTTTCTTTTGTAATGCTTGTGATAACTCATTTGTAATTCCCAATATGAGTCTCATAAAAAAAAGGTGAAACACAAAATCAAAAGTTTGTATGTCATGGAATAACTTACTTACTTCACCAAAATTGTCTTGTTTGGTATCATCCTTAATCCATTCAAGCACCTCCACCACAGCTTCAAACATGACAATAATACTAACTATAGTACCATAATGTGAGTTCCAACATGTATCACAAGGACGCATGAGACTAATCTCTTGATTTAACCCTCTACCCGTTTCAAGATCACCAATATCAAGAGCTTTCTTAATTTGTTCTAGTTGTTTCTCTCTAAATGTGTCACGACGCTTACACGATGATCCAATAGTATTGACCAAAATACTAGCATTGTTGAAGAAAATGGCGACACCCTCAATTCCCTTTGCAACGGCTACAAGAGCTAGTTGAAGTTGGTGTGCAAAACAATGAACATAAAATGCTTGAGGATACTTGTTCAATATCTTTGCTTTAAGGCCATTTAGTTCTCCTTTCATATTACTAGCTCCATCATAGCCTTGTCCCCGTAACTTGGACATACTCAAATTTGTTGAAGCAAATAATCTCTCAATGGCCTCTTCAAGTGAGCTACTAGTTGTAGAGGAGACATGTTGCACACCCAAAAACCTTTCAATTACCTCTCCTTCCTTGTTCACATAACGCAATACCACCGCCATTTGCTCTTTAGTTGAAGAATCACGTGATCCATCAACCAAAAGAGAAAAAAATGTACCTTCCATATCTTTAGTAATTGCACCAATAGTTTCAATGGCACAAGCACGGACAAGATCTTTTTGAATATCAGAAGAAGTATACTTGAGATTCTTGGAAGCATTCTCAAACACAACCTTCCTAACTTTATCATTATGATCGGCAAGAAATTGCATAAGCTCCAAATAATTACCCCTATTGCTTGATTTGAACGATTCATCATGGCCACGAAAAGGCAAACCTTGTTGCAACAACCATCTTGTGCAATCAAGTGCGCCACGCAATAAAGTGTGATAATTAATGCGAGCTTCATCGGTTTGCTTAATCACAAATGTTTCAATATGTTGCTTTTGCGTCATCAAATCTCTAGCTTGTTGTAAAGCTTTATTATGAAGACTTCCAACACCTCCCTCATGATCTCGAAAGTTTTCGAGTCCTTTCCTCCAATTTGTAAACCCAATCTCAGTGAAGACATCACTTCCGGCATTTCCCTCTTTATCAAAATCACACTTGAATAGATAACAATAACGGCAAAATGCGGCATCTTTTACTATACTATACTCCAACCACTTAAAATTATCAAACCAACGAGTGACAAAACATCGATTGTTGCTAACTTTTCTGGGCATGATGTGGTCTTTAGGCTGACAAGGATTATTTTGGAGATAGTGGCGACGAATTGCTTCACGATAATTAGGTGGATATCAAGCATTCGACGTCTATGTCCAGGGTCTGCAGGAAGATTAGCCAGTATTTCATCAAACTCAGTGACCTCATTTTGTTGGGAACTACCCAGAATACTAGAAGAATGAATATTTGGAATATTCGAAGGAGGACTACTCGGAATATTCGAAGAAGGACTAGCCGGAATATTTGAATGAGGATTTAAGCACTGTTTCTTATAGTATCGTTCCATTATGTAACTGTATATGGAAAAGAAAAGAAAAAAGTTTTAGACTCTTAATCTTAGAGTAAACTATACTATAGTCAATATGAGTATTAACTAATTAAACCAACAATTCAATTAATCAATACCAATATTCATATAAATTATTTAATACACAAAAATTCAATTCATAAATTAATATCAATAATCAATTAATCAATAATCAAGAATTCAATTTTTACTCTAGACAATATTTTCATAATTTTCATTCATCAATAATCATTCATAGGATTCATATTTATACGCAAAAATCAATAATTAATTAGTGTATTACTCTATGATTCTATATTAATTAACTAAAATTTCGTATTAATTAATCAATTAGAGTTAGGGATAATACAAATTAGAAAGTTAAAAAATTTACCTAAGATTGAGAGAGAAGTGGAAACCAACCAACAGTTGGCTGCTAGAGGCTGGCAGTGGCAGGCAGTGGCAGCTGGCTTGGCTTGAAGGGGAAATATGGGACAACGGAACGGAACGGAGGGAGGAGGGCGCTGAGAACTGTTGCTGGGATTTTGGGGGAGCACACACGGGCCTTCTGAATAATGGAGTGATTTGAATAATTGAGTGATTTGAATAATTGAATTAAAGGATTAGCTTTCAAAAGTGATGAGTGATTTGCATGGAAGGCACGGGACAGAGTGGTACCCTTTAAAACTTTTATTTATTTTTTATTCAATTGATTATTTTTTAATCAATAATGGAAGGCACGGACAGACAAGTGGTACCCTTTGAAAAAAAAGAATAACAAAAGCTGATGCACAGCAGCAGTAGAAACTCAAGCCCAGAAACCGATCTGCAGTGCAGGTGCACCGTGCATCCATTAATTCCGACGACACCAGAGGGGCGGAACCACGCTCTTGGGCTTAATTTCCGAGGAGGAGAGGGGCGGCCGCCCCCTCCCAGTCCCTCTGTAGCTTCGCCACTGAATTACACCATATTCTAATTTCATCAAATTTGAAAAAAATTCGTAGAGAAATAAAGTACAGAAAAGAGAAATCCATCAAGCTAGGATACTTGATCTTCCTAATACATTTTATTTATGGTCTATACTCTAGATAGAAATGTGAAACTTTAACAGTAGCCCTAAGAAAATTCGTAAATTAAAAGGACTTTTGATTTTCACAATCTAAATTTGGTCCAGTATCAACATTAAGCAACCCAGCATATCTTCTGAAATAACCAATCCGATCATTTACTCGTGCATCGTTGGGTATTCCGCACTCCAGTCTACCATTGATGATGTTAGTGACCAGCCCATATCCAACAGTCCGATTGGCCGCAACGTCAGCTTCTGTGGGCACATACAGTCCAACCATGACATCGTGAGAAGAGGGCTTTGGCTTTTGCTCAGTCATCCAGAACCATAGAGCCGTTTTCAGTGCTATCATGGAATTGTTTGCCACTACTTCAGGATTCTTCAGCCCATCAAACCCTAACGCCTTGCCAGCAGGTCCATAATTATAGTTCCTACGATCAATTACCAAGATAGATTAATTTCATATTTTCAACTCATCAAAACACGTAGGTAAGGGAGAGAATAGATCTCAATAAAACTACTGTCCCACCGGTGAGTACAAGCTAGCTCGCCCAGTCCCACCAGGTGTACAACTCAAAATGCTCCTAGGCACGAGCCTAAACTACCAAAGCATGCAGTCTTACAATTGTGTAAGTCTAAGTTGTATTTATAATATATACTTGTCAAGACAATGTTATAACCAATTACTAGAGGATTTCGACTATGAGGTTCAATGTCTGCCAATATAAACGATTGTCTGCAGGTAACAGTGAATATATAGCTGTGAATGTGATGAATCAAGTTGACTTACCAAGATAGCTGAATAGGGCCTCTTCCTTTGTAAGATTTGCCCGGATAACAAGGCCATTCCTTGTTGTTGGAGTCACAGTAGTCGCTAGGGGGACTGATTTCCTCTTTGAAGCACAGACCCCATGCATATGGTCCATCAGGGGCAGTCGCCCACCCACCTGTAGTCTCGTGAGAAATCTGCGCTAGAAAGGCGGCGATCTCACTCTTGCGTGTGGTTAAACTTCCAGTGGTGCCAAATCCGGGGAAGGATTTGGAGGCTTTGATGAAAGAGTGGTAGGTATAGAAGTCTTTGGCAGGGCATGCCATGTCGTCCTTGTGTAGAAACAAGGTGTGGAAAAGCTTTTTGCTGATTAAAGACGAAATTGGAAGACAATCGCTGCGAGCAGCCTCAGCTCTGGATGGTGCATTACTAGTAGAGAAAAGATTGATGGCAATGCTAAAGAAGGCGAATGAGACAAGGAAGAAGGAAGTGGACAAGTTGAACGAGGGTAGTGCCATGGATGAGGATTGAGGAAGCCAAGCTAGCTAACTTAGGTGCATGTGCTTGTGAATTTCTTGAGCACATATATGTATAGAAGATGAACAAACTAGGCCTATATATATATACACACACACACACACACACATACATAATACACACACACACACACACACACATATTATATATAAATGTGCCGGCCTGGCCATATTAGAATATAATTATGATTATTTTTGTAATGGCAAGGCAACGAAGGAAGAAGAGGACAGAGTCGTATGTGGTGGTGATGAGCTACAATTAAGCAAAGGACAAGTAAAGTCAGAGGTCAAAAATTTAGTCTCATGTGATGGCCTAGGCCTAGTTTATGGGTGGGAATGTAGCTTTGTTGGGAAGGTATTTTGGCATGGTTGACTTAATAATATAGCCACATCTCAATGGGATTGGGAAGTGTCGACACTCTCTCTGCATATTATATATTTAATTCTATAATATGTGTATGCACTTGCATTTCCTTCATATATATTTACATGGTCCATTTGTTACGCCGGACTGTAGATCAAAATAATTTTGAAACCCAAAACATTTTTTGTCACTTTTAGATAGAGATCCAATAAGTGACTCAAAATTAAGCCTGCAGGGATGAAGTGTAGTGGAAAGAGTCTCTGGCTAACGGCTATCCTTGTTTCAATTGGTGGATTAATGGTTAATATTAGTTAAGATTCCGTAATTAAACTCTTCTGTTTTGAGGCACCAGTTGCATACTGCAGTTATGTTACTGGGTTGAAGTTTATTTTATGTGCATTGGTTTATACCTGTTGCAAATGGAAATCATTAATGGTATCTTTCAATAAATGCGTCTTATATGTTTGCTAGTCATTTTTAAAGCTTTTTGTAAACCTGTTTTTCCCAGATTGATGTATAATGTCTTTTTGGACTTAGTTTTAATGAAGTAATCACTTATTGACCTATAAAATTATGCTATGAGTACTTTGGCTAACGTGGTTCCTATATAAGCCAAACCTTTGTGTAGGTAACTTAATCAGCCGTTGAATGCCAATTCAAGTTAATTTGAATTGGGGCGGTTCAAATAAGGTAATGGGTTGTTAAGTGTATAGTGTTTAGTTTCGTTCATCTGAAATGATAACAAAGATGAGCCTTCGCCTTCCGTAGCAGTATAGATAGATGTGAATTCATCGACTTGCAAAGTGTCACCACTGTATCAAAGTTATACGTAATTACTTTGTCTACTCTCTTTGAAAATATGTTCTCTGATTCTTCCATTATGCGTTCATGTTATCAGTTTAGTTTCACTAAATATAAACAAGCAGCACCCCGGAAAAAAGCACTCTCAGGAACCTATAAAGTCATACCTGAGGAGTGAAGGAATTGTTTTCGTTTCACTGCATGCATAGTGGTGGGGTTATGGGTTTCTGATGTGGAGAACTTGCCTGCTCCTTGAAATGAACTTGTTCACGTGCATTCACAGAACATATTTCTAACTTCATCATGGTTTCGAAACCATTGCAGGGTCATTCAAAATCAAGGGTGTTCCTTTGAGACGTGTGAATCAGTCCTATGTGATTTTGCAACTTCTACTAATGTTGACATTTCAGGGGTGAATATGTAGAAATGATGACAAATATTTTGCAAGGCAAGTGGAGAAGAAAAAGAAGAGTGCGTGAGGGGGAAATTTTTTCAGGCAGAGAGAGGTTAGTACCTTTATAATTTCTTCACTTCTAGCCATATAAATCTTGAGCTAATTTGTAGTCTTGTGTTATTTCTAATGTCAATGTTTGTTGCCATCAGTCATCGGAGTCTCTCAATGAACAACGACCTGGACGACAAATTGGAAATTGAGAATTGAGTTGCCGTTGGACAATGCTGCATTAATAATTTGCGCTTATAAGATACACCAGATCGAGGAGGCTTTGAAACTAGTGATAGATCATAGATGAGATGAAGAAAAAGCTGGAAATGTTTGTGGAAACTGGAAACCGTTGATGATTGTCTTAAGCCGATATTCTGATAATATAATTAGGGCCAATCCTCAATGCTAGCTAGCGTATTCATCCTTGTTGCTCTTCTCCTCCTCTCATGCATCTATATCTCATTTTTTGAGCATTTAGCAGCACTGGAACTAATATTGTTTTCTTCAATTGAATATAGTATATAGTACGATAATTAAATTAATTTCTTGAAATTCAAGCTACATATATCTCAAGTCTTTTTCTTTTATTTGGTCTTCATCACTTAAAAAACGTTTAACTTTTTTCTCATTTCAATTCAACGGTCTAAAAGTTTTGTATTTGAAATATATTTTTTTTGCAGAAATGATCTTTAAGGGATGACCTATGAGATTTACAGTTGGATTTTCAAAATTTAACTCGTAAACCTATAAAGTGGGATGATGTTCTCAATACCCGTATTCATTTGAAAATCTGTATTTCGGGCACTTTTCTTTAAATTCAACAGTCTAAAAGTTCCGTATTATTTTTATTTTTTGCAGAGAAAATCTTTAAGGATAACCTATGACATGTACAGTTGGATTTTCAAAATATAACTCGTAGACCTATAAAGTGGGATGACATTCTTATTACCCGTATTAATTAGAAAATTTGTATTTTGGACACTTTTATTTCAATTCAAGAGTTTAAAAGTTTCGTATTTTTATTTTTTGCAGAACAGATCTTTAAGGGATGACCTATGAGATGTATAGCTAGATTTTCGAAATATAACTTGTAGACCCATACAGTGGGTTAATGTTCTCATTACCCGTATTCATTCGAAAATTTGTATTTCAGACACTTTTCTTTCAATTCAACAACCTAAAAGTTTCATATTCTTTTTATTTTGTGCAGAGATGATCTTTAAGGGTTCACCTATGAGATGTACAGTTGAATTTTTGAAATATAACTCATAGACCCATAAAGTGGGTTGATGTTCTCATAACCCCTATTAATTTGAAAATATGTATTTTGGCCACGTTTCTTTCAATTCAAGAGTCTAAAAGTTTCGTATTCTTTTTATTATTTGCAGAACTGATCTTTAAGAGATGACCTTTGAGATGTACAGTTGGATTTTCGAAATATAACTTCTAGACCCATAAAGTTGGTTGATGTTCTCATTACCCGTATTCATTCGAAAATCAGTATTTCAGACACTTTTCTTTCAATTCAACGGTCTAAAGGTTTCATATTCTTTTTATTTTGTGCAAAGATGATCTTTAAGGGTTGACCTACGAGATGTACGGTTGGATTTTCGAAATATAATTCATAGACCCATAAAGCGGGTTGATGTTCTCATTACCCCTATTAATTTGAAAATCTGCATTTTGAGCACTTTTCTTTCAATTCAAGAGTCTAAAAGTTTCATATTTTTTTTATTTTTTTTGTAGAGATGATCTTTAAGGGATGACCTATAAGATGTGTAGTTGGATTTTCGAAATATAACTCGTAAACCCATAAAAAAGGGATGATATTTTCATTACCCGTATTCATTCGAAAATCTGTATTTCGGACACTTTTCTTTCAATTCAACGGTCTAAGGGTTTCATATTCTTTTTATTTTGTGCAAAGATGATCTTTAAGGGTTGACCTATGAGATGTATAGTTGGATTTTCGAAATATAGCATGTAGACACATAAAGTGGGTTGATGTTTTCATTACCCGTATTCATTCGAAAATCTTTAAGGGTTAACCTATGAGACGTACAGTTGGATTTCGAAATATAACTTAGACCCATAAAGTGGGTTGATGTTCTCATTACCCCTATTAATTCGAAAATCTGTATTTCGGGCACTTTTCTTTCAATTCGAGAGTCTAAAAGTTTCTTTTTTTATTTTTTATTTTTTATTTTTTTGCAGAACTGATCTTTAAGGGATGACCTATGAGATGTATAGTTGGATTTTCGAAATATAGCATGTAGACACATAAAGTGGGTTGATGTTTTCATTACCCGTATTCATTCGAAAATCTTTAAGGGTTGACCTATGAGATGTATAGTTGGATTTCGAAATATAACTTAGACCCATAAAGTGGGTTGATGTTCTCATTACCCCTATTAATTCGAAAATCTGTATTTCGGACACTTTTCTTTCAATTCGAGAGTCTAAAAGTTTTTTTTTATTTTTTTATTTTATTTTATTTTTTTTTTGCAGAGATGATTTTTAAGAGATGACCTATGAGATGTACAGTTGGATTTTTGAAATATAACTCGTAGACCCGTAAAAAGGGATGATGTTCAGTACCCGTATTCATTCGAAAATCTATATTTCGGGCATTTTTCTTTCAATTCAACACCCTAAACCTTATACTTATGAGATGTAAATTTGGATTTTTGAAATATAACTTGTATACCCATAAAGTGGGATGATGTTCTCATTACTCGTATTAATTCAAAAATCTGTATTTCGGATATTTTTCTTTCAATTCAAGAGTTTAAAAGTTTCATAATTCTTTTATTTTTTGCAGAGCTGATCTTTAAGGGATGACCTATGAGATGTACAGTTGGATTTTTGAAATATAACTTGTAGACTCATAAAGTGGGATGATGTTCTCATTACCCTTATTAATTCAAAAATCTATATTATGGGCACTTTTCTTTTAATTCAAGAGTCTAAAGTTTCGTATTCGTCTTTTTTTTTTTTTTTTTTTTTTTGTAGAGATGATCTTTCAGGGATGACATATGAGATGTATAGCTGGATTTTCGAAATATAACTCGTAGACCTGTAAAATGGGAAGATGTTTTCATTACATGTATTCATTAGAAAATCTGTATTTCGGGCACTTTTCTTTCAATTCAACAGTCTAAAAGGTTCGTATTCTTTTTATTATTTGCAGAGATGCTCTTCATGGGATGACCTATTAGTTGTACAGTTGGATTTTTGAAATATAAATCATAGACCCATAAAGTGGGATGATGTTCTCATTAACCGTACTAATTTGAAAATCTGTATTTCGGACACTTTTCTTTCAATTCAACAATCAAATAGTTTCTTATTCTTTTTATTTTTTGCAGAGCTTATCTTTAAGAGATGACATATGAGATGTGTTTGTACCATACTTAGGGTCTTCGTATTTAGACCTCTTATAAATACTCGGAGGACTTAAATGTAATTAT